ATACTAAGTAATCTTTACTTAGTATTAGTAAATGTGGCTGAAAGACCAATTTAGGTCTTTCAGCCTTTTAGTAGATAACTCCCTAATACCGTGGGAATTAGGGAGTTATCTACTAAGCTGCTGCAAGATGCAGCCGCGGATCGGAGTTTGCATGCCACAGTCCAGGTGTTAGTCCCCTTGAAACATCTTGTGTGTTTTAAAATTCACCTGTCTATTGAAGTCTATGGCGGTTCGCCCGGTTCGCGGGTTTGCGAACATTTGCCGAAATTCGCGTTCGCCGTTCGCGAACCGAAAATCTTATGTTCGCGACATCACTACCTATTAATTAAAAAAAAAAAATATATATATATATATATATATATATATATAGTCTGATCTTGATAAAGACCGGTTGGTCGAAACGTTGATTCTTGGTTTTTGTCAATACACTGTTTGAAAAATACAAGTGCTCTCATTCTTCCATCTACTATTTATCCTGCACTGAGCAGCACCGTGATCATTGTTTATTATTTTGCTACATTTGGGCAGAGTGCAAGACTTTCTCTCTCTCTCTCTCTCTCTCTCTCTCTCTCTCTCTCTATATATATATATATATATATATATATATAAAATTAATTACAACACGCCAACAAATTCTGTATTGCTGTACAATAGGTGGACTAACAGACATGTATTTGCAACAAGACAAGTTGGACTCACAGGAACATAGGATGTTGAGGGCCCTGCTCTAATAAGCTTACATTCTAGAAGGAGAGTGGTAAGGGTGGGATGTATTTCATGTATGGGAAAAAGTAGGTTACTAGAATAGTGAATGGTTAGTTTTTTCTATGACAAAGTTGCAGGGGAGGAAGCAGGGTGGGTTGCCAAGGTGCTTTGAAGGAAAGCTATTAACAGTTTGATTCATATGCTTTTTCTAAAGAAGTGAGTTTTGAAGAAATTATCTTTTAAAGAGACTGGCACAGGGTCAGAGTCTAACTGAGCATAGGAAAGATGCAGCCTTTGACTCAAAATTGGAAAAATTGAGAATTTTAAATATGTCACTGTTCACCACACTTACACTGTATGAATTATGTCAATTAATGAGATTTGTCTCTGTATTCAGCTGGCAACATTTTTTTTACCCCCCAGTCTTAGTGCCACTTGCTATCTGATGCAAGCAGCACCGGTAGTGGAATCTAGAGAATATAGAGATACAGCTTTCAGGAAAAGCTGCAATGCCCTATGTTACAAGTGTGTCCCAATGCCCTGCTTTTTATATGTATGCCCCAATACCCTGCCTTAAAAGCATATCCCAATTCCTTACATGTTACAAACACACCTAAATGTCCTGCCTTTTACAAACACTCCTTAATTCTCTTCCTTTTATAAACACACCTTAACGCTAGTGATGTCGCGAACACGAAATTTTCGGTTCGCGAACGGCGAACGCGAACTTCCGCAAATGTTCGCGAACCAGCGAACCGCCATAGACTTCAATGGGCAGGCGAATTTTAAAACACACAGGGACTCTTTCTGGCCACAATAGGGATGGAAAAGTTGTTTCAAGGGGACTAACACCTGGACTGTGGCATGCCGGAGGGGGATCCATGGCAAAACTCCCATGGAAAATTACACAGTTGATACAGAGTCTGGTTTTAATCCATAAAGGGGCAGAAATCACCTAACATTCCTAAATCACAATCAATATGGATTGACACCTGACATATGACATATTGACACCTTGACATATGGATTGACACCTGTCCTCAGAGCCCCTGATACACACTGACACAGAGCAGAATAGGGACTGTTACCCCTACATCGGGTCACTTGGCAGATATGGCGTGGTCGTGGGAGGAGGAGGATGACTTTCACCTCTTCCCCTCTTAGATTCCCATTGTGCTGTGACATCACCCTTATACGCTGTGTAAAGCATACTTTTTAATTTATTTTGCAAATGCTGCATCCTTTCCGACTTGTAATTCGGTCACATTTCCGCCACTGTCTGCTTATACGGGGGGTCTAGTAGCGTGGACACCCAGCACAGGTCGTTCTCCTTCATCCTTTTTATACGAGGGTCCCTCAACAGGCACAACAGCATGAAAGACCCCATTTGCACCCCAAGGTTGGATGCCGAGCTACTCATTTCCCATTCCTCCTCCTCACACAGAGCAGAATAGGGACTGTTCCCCCCTACACTTGGCAGATATGGATTGACACCTGTCCTAAGGGTCCCTGATACACACTGACACAGAGCAGAATAGAGACTGGTCCCCCTACATAGGGTCACTTGGCAGATATGGATTGACACCTGTCCTAAGGATCCCTGATACACACTGACACAGAGCAGAATAGGGACTGTTCCCCCTACATCGGGTCACTTGGCAGATATGGATGGACACCTGTCCTAGGGATCCCTGATACACACTGACACAGAGCAGAACAGGGACTGTTCCTCCTACATAGGGTCACTTGGCAGATATGGATTGAAACCTGTCCTCAGAGCCCCTGATACACACTGACACAGATCAGAATAGGGACTGTTACCCCTACATCGGGTCACTTGGCAGATATGGATGGACACCTGTCCTCAGAGCCCCTGATACACACTGACACAGAGCAGAATAGAGACTGTTCCCCCTACATCGGGACACTTGGCAGATATGGATTGACACCTGTCCTAGGGATCCCTGATACACACTGACACAGAGCAGAATAGAGACTGTTCCCCCTACATAGGGTCACTTGGCAGATATGGATTGACACCTGTCCTCAGAGCCCCTGATACACACTGACACAGAGCAGAATAGAGACTGTTCCTCCCACATAGGGTCACTTGGCAGATATGGATTGACACCTGTCCTCAGAGACCATGATACACACTGACACAGAGCAGAATAGAGACTGTTCCCCTACATCGACACTTGGCAGATATGGATTGACACCTGTCCTCAGAGCC